GAGTCTTGATTCCTCGCAAAAGTTGACGAAAAAGTCCATTGATTTAATGGCGGCGAGCAAAGAACGTAAACGGCCTAGTTTCTTTCAAAGAGTTGGTAGAAGTTTGCATTTTTTACTCAGGGAGCGCGAGAAACATCAGGATTTCTTAAAACGAGAAGAATGCTCGATTAACAATCAGTATCCTCAGTCCGATCAGGAAAAGTGCGAATATTTTTTACAGAGGTATCAGAAAGATGTTGATTTTTTTGAACGTGTACCAAGCGCGTTAACTGATCGTGCTCCCGTCCAGTCAAATCTCGGTTCTTTCGATGAGGCAAATATTGCCTTTATTCAAAATTTTATTGGTCATTCTAAAAACATGAAGCTTAAGGAGAGTACATTTCGTATGACGGCAGATTCGAATAATCTTTTAAACACAAATATTGCGGAAAGGAATATAAGACAGAATAATTTAGGCGCAAGCGAACCATCAGTGCAATCCGATAATCTTACTAATGCTGCTGAACTGGTGCAATCGAGACTTTTAGATCCTGTCGCAAGTGTCGCTACGCAAGAAACCGTGAGTGGCAATAAAGACAGCTTAGAGATTGGATATTCCACTAGCCATCTTGGTAGACTGTACTTACAGAATCTGCAGCACGTAGGTTGTACGGACGGTTTGCAATCTCTGGAGAACGCCACCGAAGCGGAGAAACGTGATCGCTATATAGAATGGATAATCAGAGACGATCTGGACGCAGTGAGCGTCACGAAATCTAACGATTATCTGGCTCATGGTAAACCACAGGGTAACTTGGATATTCTTAAGGGTATTCTTCTCGATATTTTCGTCTGTTGTATTTAAAAACGGATAGGTTTTACAGACTCTCTGAAAAACAACGCATTCTCTTACATCACGTACTAAGCGATCTCTTATATACTCGGCATTAAACTATGCCAAGATTTCGATAATCAAGAAGCGAAATATGTTCTACGAAAAAGATAATAATTTTCATACTGAGTATTTTGCGTAATCTTATATGGGATGATAAAGTTTAGTCACAAATTTTGCATTTATTAATTCATTAGTAACGTATATTTACAAAAAACAAAAACTGTTATTTTATTATATACCAAAAATTAACATGCAAGAGCTATTTTTAGCTTTGATATAAATTTCAAGGTGGTACGAGAATGCATTAACGATGGACGTGCATCTTTTTATTACGGATAACCACTTCTCGGAAGACAAACCACCGAGAATATTTTTGACATCTTTGTTATCAATCACCGAGAGTATATTTGCCACCGCCGTTTGGAGCTGGCGTTAAAAACTGTAGGTCCCGTATATTAGTAGATATATGTATTGTGTGTGTGCGCGTGCGTGCGTGCGTGCGTGCATGCGCGGGTGCGCGTGTGCGTGTGTGGGTCCCTTAGGTTGAGGGTTGAACATTAGGTTAACAATCTAATTTCGGAAAAATCATTGTTTCGAAAACTCATTTTCAGATGGAAGGCTCGATTTGGACTGTAATGTCATATAAGTAGAATCTTTATCATAACAATCTCTTTTAATGAGCTGTTCGAAATTTCGGCGTTAAAAAATGTAATTATAATTATATATATCAGTACTACATGTAAAAGAAATCATGTCGCTGAAAGACGATAGATGAGAGAGGGGAGGAGAGAGAGAGAGAGAGAGAGAGAGAGAGAGAGAGAGAGAGAGCTAAAGATTGCACTATTGGTTGCTTGGGAAAATTTTGCCGTGGAAAGTCATTATTGATTTTTCTGGCGTTTCTGAAGCGCCTTAAAATATAAAGTATCATTCAAAGCTGAAGGTGATAATTTTAAACGTGTTATTATTATTTATATATTTATAATTATTTTTTTATATTTAATAAGATATAACTACCGCTCCAAAGTTTTTTTTAATATACGTTACTAATGATTTAATAAATACAAAACTTTGTGATCAAACTTTTTTATCATCCTGTATATATATATATGTATATATTTATTTTCATACACTACTATATAACAATATTTATAATGGATACATTTGTATTCTCTACACTGCCGAATTATTAATGCACATTGAAATCTTGGCCGTTTTCGAACAAACACGATTGCCTTAAACCCCAAATAATAGTGAAATCAATTAGATCGGATTGTAATGCCGACACAAAATGTTTGAAGAGAGAATGAGAATTTTTTTAACTATACATATATAGCGTACGTATAAGCATATGTGACTTGATAATTTTATATACTTGCGACTTCACACAGGATCGATGTGCTCGTTAACTCTTGAGAAGCGTGTCGCAAGATTTTAATGCGCGTATTCTTGTCGCATATGATATTATGTGACAAGATTGATTTTGTTTTTGTCTTTATTATTTCTACTCCACGGTTGATAATATCCACATACCAAATTACAATAATTAATATATATTAGCACTGCCACAAATGCAATTGTAGTAACAGTATAATGAAATAAGATACCATCAGAAAAAAAGAAGAAAATAAGAATTTCATTTTCATATAGGAATATTTAAATTATTTTAACAAAAAAAAAATTATTATATTTAAAATTATTTTTGACAATCTTTTTACAGTTGTATATACATCAAATGTGTTTTTTATAGTTAATTTCTTTTACGATCGTTGCTATATATAATATGCACATTTTACGTTTTTTTTTTACTTTTAATACGTTAGTAGATTTTATTACCGTAAAATGTTTCTTTGCATCTTGTTCTCGTCTTGGATTATATATTTTCGGATCATCGTGTATTATTTAGCAAAATTCATTTGATTTTTAAAGTAGTTTTGATAGCAAAACAAACCAAATTACGCGCAGCACAGGTTAGAAACTAGTGATAATATATTGGAATACATGGCTTTAATGATTTTTCATAATTTATTTATTCTTACGCTTTGATGATCTTTTGATTATTTAGACTGACCTAAAGTTAATAGACTGACAACATTTATCATGCAAAGTTTGTTCACAGTGTCATAGATGATCATTTTTATAATACAATATATTTGATTCATTCTCTAAATTCTTCTTTTTCCTTTTTTTATTTTTTTATTTGATATTTAAAACTTTACAATGCCGTCCTGTAACATCAAAGTACAGAAAAATTAATGTTATATGTAAACTACTTTTTTGTTTATCAATTCTAGTTCTTTTAAATATGTAATATAATTACTTTTCATACAAGTAATTGCAATATCTTGTCATAAAATCTACGATGCTGTACAATCAAATGATAAAAATTAACTAATATCTTTTACAGTTCCTTTCAAGTTCTGCTTAGGTTATGTTCTGCTTTCTCTTTATATATTTATAAATTTAAGAGTGGATAAGATAAAAAGATAGTTATTAATGACATTTTGTCGGCTAATCCTACGTTTTCTTATTCTAATTTTACATTGTTTTGACAAACATAACAGTAAAAACCAAATGTTTATCAACTAACTCATTTAATAGCTATTTTGTATATTATGTTAAAAATAGCAATCAATGATATCGCATTCTCGCAGAAAAAGTGACGCAAGTCGAAATTTTTTAAATTTTGTAGTATGTACGAATTACGTTCTAAATATTTCGGCCTTTAATTAATGACAAGTTGAATATTTTCCTAATAAAACAAATCAGAAGAAGGATAGTTTTTAGGAATAACGTAACACTGATAACACCATAACAAAGTTAATACCTATATTACTTCTAGAGAACTTGAAACAAGGAATTTGTGATTTGCTCTAAATTAACTTATGTTTAATACTATAGTAAATAATTTAAAAATACGCTATTTTCTTTCCTTTTAAAGAATTTTATATTTTTTATTTGTGTCACTTTTCTTGCAAGTGTACGATGTGTGACTACTATTTTTTTAATATATACATATTGAAAAAGTATATACATATATATATAATTTTATACATATACATATGTATAACCTCACTATATAAGCAATGAAAAATGATCTGAAAATTATTAATTAATTATTTTCATATGTGATTAGAGGTCTCATGACTGATTTTTTTGTTGTATCCAAAATATCGAATATTTGCAATTTGTTGCTCATTAATAATAAAAATTCAAGTATAGAGCGTTAAATGTGTTCTCTATAATTTGTAGAAGAATAAGCATGAAATGTACTGCGTTCGATACCATGAACAAAAATCATCGCGTATTTGTTTTGCTCGCATTGAACGTGTTGTTAATTATAATTAGCATTTAAAAGAAAACAATGTTGTGTTCTTTTATTTTAGTCATTGATATTTTCATCATTTAATCAATTGTATTCTGCAACGATTGTGAAGTTTCGATCAATTCTCTTACTCAATAATTAATCAAACATATTACGTATTACGTATTAGTTTTTAATATATTTAACGATACGTTCTGGTGAAATGGAAGAAGTAGTCTAACGGTTGATGACTCGATGAGCTTTCACAATTTAGTAGCCTGACTTCTTTTTTGTTATTAAATGCCCCACATAACATATGTATGCCACAAGAGAGCGTCTAAAGACGCGAAAAGGTTACCAAAGCTTAGATAGGGAAGATAAAGTCTAGTTTGTTACTTATCCATGTTCATTGTAATCTCGAGGGAAACTTTGGTTTTCATTAGGCGTAACAATCGAGTGAGATTTATCGTTATTAATATCTCGTAACGACACTGCCAACTTCTTCCTATGCACTAGATCATCAGGGACGTTGTTTTTATTGTCCATTCTCTCTATTTTTCTTTATTCGTCTAGCATGTTTTCATATCATATATCTATCTGTAATCAGTCTGTTTTTTTATTGATAATAATGATGATGATGATGATGATAATGAAGAAAAAAGTAGCAAATAAATGTTTTTCCATTCAAGGACTGGTCTCTTTATTTATCTCACCACATGACATTGTCGATTATCCTTGTCAAAATTATTTCTCACTTGGCTTGAATGGAAAAACCCAACCGCGAATAACTTGCAGATGTTGGTTCTCGAAATCGTATACATACGATGAAAGAAAAAGAGAAGAGAGAAAAATCTACTTTTCATCTATAAGTTTTGGATTTGTCGCATCATCTATCTTCACGAAAACGTGCCATTTCCTTATTTTGATTTATTTTTTAAAATTGTTCTTATTTGTTCGGTTACTTTTCTTTTTTTATTATAATAATTAATTTTTCCATTTCAATTGCCAAGAGTGAAAGATTATCCATCGTTTCCTGCGTCGCCCGATTGATATCGAGTTTTTTAAGCATATGACATTTTGAAACATGATGCATCAATCTGACGAACATCCTACATACGATTAAAAATAAGACTCGATCCTCTCTCTCTCTCTCTCTCTCTCTCTCTCTCTCTCTCTCTCTCTCTCAGTTTATCTTATTTCGTTTATTATAATACTATTTGTTGTTTTGAAAGATTACAACAATATTTAAAAAGTGATGATAAATTTTTAATAAAATCTAAAATAATATATCCCTTGAACAGAGTACCATATACACGATACAAATTTTGGTGAAGTAAAAAAATTATAAAATTGCTATTTTATAATTAAAACAAACATATGTTTAAAATATCAGGCTATATAATCAAAAACTATTTAAAAATGTATATTATGATCACTTATTAAGAAAGATTGCAATAACAATTAAGAAGTATGTTGGATTTTGTCAGTTTACATGAATTTATGTAGAATAGTATTTTAATTTCAGAAATTTAAATTTGTATATCATTGTCATTACTATCATTATATTCACATTGAATATATTTACAATTCTGTGCTATAAATACAAACAAAACTATTGCATATCTAAATCGATAATGAAAATTAAATACAACAGTCAAACGATTATAATTTTGTAATGCGGCAATACTATTTTAGGTTCAAACCCACACTCGCTTAGGTTGTTGTTACGGTTTTTTAATGTAAATTATGTTGTCTCTCGAAAAAAGTCTTAGATTGCAGATTGACATATGGTGGGTATAACATACAATATACGTACTGTGAAAAACGTGTGTTTTGCAATGTATAACGAGTGCTCTTCTCTACGATTGTTTTCTTCTTCCTACCTCCTATTTTTTTCTTCGAATTATCGATCAATTATTTGCACGATTGAATGTACTGACCAAAATGTGTCGGCGAGTTTATAAGAGAGCCGAGTTTTGTAATTTTTTTTTGAAAAACTTTTAAACAAATATTGCTGCTCCCTTATCATTGCTTTTGGATTTGTGTATAAATCCTGCTGTGTGTGTGTCGAGAGGCGGTAGGAAGCTTTCATGTGTATACATTATTTATACATACAGTGAATGGAAAAAATTTTATTAAAAAACCTTATAGTAAATAAATAAACATTAATGAGCAATTTTATATAACGAAACGTTCTGTGCTAATATAAACAAAAGAGCTTTGTGTGTTCTTAAAAGCTAAACTGTCTAAACTGTTTGAATACTTTTTGCGCGTCCAAATAATACAATTTTTTATTTTCATTTATTTTTAAGATAACATTTTTATTATTACATATCTTTTTAGATAAAATAATTTACATAAATATACAATCCATCTTATTGTTTGTTAATAAATTTCTAATTAAAGTTTACTTTTAAAAAATAAGATTTTTTAAAAAGATATGGAAATACTTTTTGAACTCATGTATAAAATTGTATGTATAAATATGTATATGGAGACTATAAAAGCGAGTTTTACGAAACAGCAGGGTAACAGTGAGTTGACGATACGAAAGAATATAAAACACGATTGTTGGTTGAACTTTTTGTGCGGTTTTTCATGCATTATGTTTTTTCTGATGATCTCTTTCAGCATCAGGTGCGGGTGGACAAGAGCGAAGGGTCAGCATGCGGTTGCACCGTAGGGATACACTACTAGCTGCTGCAGGAGAAATGCAGCCCAAGTCCAAGTGAGTTGCTACACAATATAGAACGACTAAATCCGCTAAACGACTGGGTATAACTTGCTCTACTGAAATCCGCGGACATTTTCGAAGAATATGTAAGCTTGCACAGACAATAAACTATTTCGAGAAACGTTAGTTATTTTGGTTGTAATTAGTGTAATACAGATAATAGGAAAATTTTGACATTAGAATAGATAACATGCAAGACTTTTTTTATCATTATATATTTGAAATGATACTAAAGTAGGTCGCTGAATTTTGTAATTTTCTACGATCAATTTGAATTTGAGTTTTTCTTGTCGAAATATCAATATCCCTTGGGATTATAATTTTTAACAATAGAAATATATAATAAAATTTGAATATTTCCGTCTCTCTCTCTCTCTCTCTCTCTCTCTCTCTTTCTCTCTCTTTTTTAAGTAAGCTTCAGATTTTTACTTTGTTTAGTTTTTGAAATGTTAGCTATCAACTGAATAATTAAAAAAGAAAGGAAAATCGACTCCAGATTAGTTACAAATACGCTGCAAATTTTTGGCGACTTATTTTAAAATCACTTCATATATATAGAATTTTTCACATCAATAAATGTTTAGAGCTTGTTACACTCTCGTTTTTGGTTGCATGAACATTGCACATTTGGGGACAAAAATTACATTTTAAGCCTGTTTTCGATTCTACTTATATTTGTATATCGAGCTCCTGTGTGGCTATGATACTAAAGGTGACCCTATACAGTCAATAATACTTATCAATAATACTGACAATATACATCAATATTTTTAGTATTTTACAACCTTATCCGATCAATATTATTAACAATATATCTCACTATAATTTTACGTACACTATCTATTGCACTGTGATATATATATATATATATATACTGTAACAGGATCCTAATAAATACTGATGCTCCAGATTCATTATCAGTACTCTATGTCAATCCATCAATTACACGGCACCCTTAATCGGGTTAGTTTCATAACGGATGTTATTAAACTCGATTAAGAGTGCCATGTAAATGTAGTCAATATTATTAACCGTGTTAGGGTACCTTAAGTATGTGTAAATTTATAATGTATTAATGATGGTGTAAGCTCTATTTTTCAATTTTATCACTACATATTTATAGCTCTTATCAAATTTCACGATTTATTGGTGCGTGATGAAAAACCGATTTTAAGATTGCCATTTGTGTTATGCTTGTGCAAACGCTAGATCATGTATTCGGTACGCGTTAGTTGAATGGAAGCTTAATTTTGGTAGGAAGATGGTGTCGCAATACCGTGGCATGGTAACTTTAATTAATTATTTAATTAATTATGTTAATTAAGGATAAATGGAGATTGAAGAAGATGGAGGGATACATTTTGTCATTTGGAAAGAATTCTCAATGTGCACATTTCGTATACAGGATGTCTCGTCATATTATTTTTTAATGATATATTCTTTAGAACAAATGATAATAATTCTTTGAATTACAAATGACTGAATATTATTTATTTTTTCGCAGATTTAATTTTGTAAAGGTGTAAGTAGATAACACACCTTACTTTTTACATAATTTCCAGACTAGTTATAAAAGTATTTAAAGTTAAAAAGTGACAACCTCCGAAATGAGTGTATCATAATATTTTTGCTCCAAAGGATTGTTTAAAAAATTATTAAAATATGTCCATGACGTAGTATGAAGACATCCTATATATGCCACTAATATATGACGAATATTAAATAAAAAAAACCATCAAGAATATATTCACTCATGTCTACCTTATATACAAGTATTCTCTCCAAATGAAAATCAGAAGTTACTATTACTATTGCTTGCTGTCGATTGCACTTTCATAATACAAGATGTTCCGGAAAATGTGATTACCTCTCACGAGCATGCAGATGAAAAAGATTTAAAATAATCACATAAATTCCTATAATTTTTTTTTGTGATGCCGAGATACTTAGTACCTCTAATTGTAAGTTAATATCTGAAGAGTGTATGTTTCTTAAATATATAATTTATAATAATTATTTCCATTTTAAGTAAAGATTTTTTAAATAGTGCGATAGATTTGTTGATACTATCAGAGAACCAGAAGCGATCTACTTTTAAGTCACCTAAATTTTTTAATATCTGTATATATATAGAATGTTTGATAAATAACGATGAATCTTTCGCACAGGGATGAACTAAATTGAGAAGAAAAGTTTTCTATCATTTTCCAATTTTCGCAATAGTTAACAAGATATTAATTACTAAAAATTGTCGAAAATTGGTCTTCAATAATTTTTTTACTCAAATATTATCAACTTTACAGAAAAACTGCAAGAGACAAAAATTGTTTATTTTTTTCTCATAGAGTTCTAAGAATTTTTTCAGAATTTTTTATCAACTTTTTAGTACTGTATTTTCTTATTTTTACCAACATGAGAAAATACGGTATTAAAAAATTCTGAAAAAATTCTTAGAACTCTATGAGAAAAAAATAAACAATTTTTGTCTCTTGCAGTTTTTCTGTAAAGTTGATAATATTTGAGTAAAAAAATTATTGAAGATCAATTTTCGACAATTTTTAGTAATTAATATCTTGTTAACTATTGTGAAAATTGTAAAATGATAGAGGATTTTTCTTCTCAGTTTAGTCCATTCTGTTCCTGCGCGAAAGATTTATCGTTACTTATCAAACATCCCGTATATAGGTACTTATATATTTTTTTTAAAGATTTCTCACATCTTTTTGAAAAAAAGATAGTCTTTTTTTATTTTGATAAAATTATTTTTGAAAAAAAACACTTGATCAATAGAGAAGGTACACTTTTATTTATGATGAAATAATAAATTGAATTAGAATTTATTAAAACAAAACAGATTCAGTCGAAATTACAAAAAAATATTCGATATACTCCCATTCCCATGCTCGACAAATCGGCAGACCTGTGTTAGAGTTATAAAAAGGAAGAAATTACCTCTTAAATTGAGCACTTTTTTGCAAGTTTGGCTAAATCTGTTTTGTTTTAATAAATTCTGCATGCTCGTGAGAGATTGTTCAATTATTCCGAAACACCTTATATAATTATTATATTATTTTTAATAAATTATATTAGAATATGATTAACAAACTAATATTAAAAAATATGCAACGCATAATATAATTTCTATTTTGATGAATACATCTCTAATTGCCTGTGGCTTGCGTTGGCCTGGTCTACTATATAATTTTGAGACTATCGCATGTGATTTTGACAAAAAAATAATTTTTAAGTAATTTTCTTGGTTGTTAGATTCAAATCCGATTATACTTGATGTTATTGGGATGCCCAAGCACAAATATTGCACAAAAATATAAAAATTTTTAGTTTTATTTCTCAATGTATGGAACATTATACTTAAAAGAAAGGCATTTTTCATAATAAGCAAAACTTTTATAAATTGTAAATTATCATTTTTTAGTTTAAAAAATTTAAACTATAGAAATCAATGCCTTAAACAGTCTAGCTGGATTTTAAATGCTTGTATGATTCTGTGTGAATTTATATGCTACGTATGTAGTCCTTTGAAACGCGCGTCGACATGATTTTTCGGTCTTGAAACTGTGAAACGCTAACTCTACTAAACTACCGTAGTAATATCAAATTAAATTGATTAGCAATTTAATTCGTGATATTACTGCGGTAGTTTAGTAGAGTTAGCGTTTCAAGACCGAAAAATCATTTCGGCGCGCGTATAATACTTACATACGTAGTATATAAATTCATACAGAATCATACAAGCATTTAAGATCCAGTTAGACCGTTTAAGACATTGATTTCTATAATTTGCGTTATCACATATACTTTCTATAAAATATTATATTGTTAAAAAATTTAATTTGTGATATTCTATCATATCGGTATGTTATGATACTAATGATAGAATTGTAGATATAATATATCTCATGTAGATTAAAAAATATTAAATATGAAAATTAAGATACGAATTAAATGATTCTTAATAAAATTTATTAAAAAATGAGTATTTTTTAAAACGTGTTATATAATATGTTGCTCTCTTAACAATATTCCACTTTCAATCACAATTTTATATAACATAATGAACATCAAATGTTTAAACTTACGATTTTTCATGTTCTACGATTTAGATACACTAGCAAAATGTAAATTTGATATCTGTCGCACAAGTTACATCTCAAGAGTCAGATATTTATTTTTTAAATTGGCTGAAACCAATATTTTTTTTAAATACTTTTAACGTCAATTTAGTGCGTGCTGTGTGGGGGCATCCTTTCGAATAACTGTACATGTAAACGTGCACGTTTTAACGTTTTAAATTTTTTTCAAGCATTCGATACATATCTGTTTTGCAATCTAATTAAAACATAGATACGCAAACCTATTCGGTAATTCGAAATTCAACAAAATTCCGCTTTATGTTCTTTCGTTGACTTTTTTTCAGGTAACCGAAAGCTATCGCACTAATTCTAAATGACAAAAATAGACAAAGAGGGAGCGAAATTCTCTGCTGTGCCACGGTAGAGGACGCCGATCATGAAAAACTCTGATCATGGGAAAAACTTTCATCGTGCGAGCCTTCTCTCCAAGTTCATTCCTCCTCACAAGCTTGTCGGTATCAACAATCAATTTATTCATATCGTAAGAGAATCTTGCGCGAGAGAACTTTGCAATATCAGTATAATTTAGCGAGAAACGAAGAACACAAGTGTTACATTATATCTTTATTCGATAATATCTCTCCGTAAATGTTATCGAAAAAGATTAAATGACAAAACATGTCTTCGGAGGCGAGAGACATGTTAGAAGGAAGAACAATGAATATTTTAATGAAGTTTGTTTCTTCTGAGACTTGCTATTAACATTTATATATTTATACCCTCGCTATAACTACATTGTATTTTATCATGAAGAACAATTAATTTTATTCAGTTTACATCATTGTCATGCTAATGCCAGTCGATTATTCAATCTCACATTACGAAATCGTGGAAAAAAGGAGCCGAGTAAAAGCGAAACTGGGGAGAGTAGATGTAACGAACGAGAGAAGGAGCGCTGGAAAAGAAAAAAAGAGAGAGAGAGAGAGAAAGAGGAGAACCTTTAGCTCATTTATATGGTGAAAACGGTGACGCGCTAATGTCGCTGTTTTGTGTATCTTTTGTTTTGGAAGCGCCAATGCGACGGCAATCGTCCCACCCACTCTGATGGTCAGGCGGGCAAGCGTGCAACACAACAAGTGAATCAGCAGCAGCAATAGCGGATTCATCGTCATCGTAATGACCACCAGCGTCGTTCGTCGGAAGCGGCGACTGGCGATTACCGTTGTCTGCACAACGCTTTCCCATCCATTATCGCGAGCCGGAAGTGAATTTGCGTATGGTATCGCATGGCTATTCGGTGATCGATTTTTCCATATCACGACATCATGAAGATCATCAGTAATAAGACTGGCGCGTGCTGATGATGGTGCCCACGACATATGCGACGTCTGCGAAAGTGCAGACAATGGAAACAACCACGACCGTTCCATGCCAAGTGGACGAAATGAAAGGATAAGAAGAGAGAAACGAGTCGTTGATCCTCAATGCACGTGTTGAAAACGGAAAACAGCGTTGCGGCAAATTATAGTAACAAGATGTGGCTAGCAACGCTCATCGCATCTTAAGACGCAACGAAGCAGCTCCTTATTGTGCGCGGCGTGATTCTCAGGAGATTCGGCAGTCGCGTGAGTCGAGTCTACTAGAACTTCTGTCTTGCAATCGGAACAAGTCCTGTCTGGACAACACCTCTCAACAGCGACGTTGAGGAGGATATAACGACGCTTAAAAATCACCGAACCCCTCGCGTCTTCTGCGCGCAGGATGACGAAACGCGATCGTTTTCTCTTTTTTTTCTTCCGTGACGAATCGCAAATGTACAGTACGCGGTTTCGATGATGGATTCTCGCAGTTGTTCATAATATATAACAGCATGAGCGTACTTCGGACGACACATTCACAGTTTTTACAATAACGTGAATTACGGTCGAGCTGGCCAGCTTTGCTTCCTTTGAATTCGTATCACATAAATGCCATTCACGTGTGTATAAACTACAAAATACTTCGGTACGAGTAAAGCAAATTATATTCATCGAAGTTTGGTAGCGTGATTATAAATCGTTTCCAAAAAAAAAGGTAGCGGCTTTTGTCAGATAGTAACGAAGTGTGAACGCGCGTAACGGAAAACTGTGACGATATATTAAAAATCGTAGTATTCCGTATACGTCATATACATATATAAATATATATATAAATTGTTCTCGACTACAATAGTACATATATTCTATTTGTAAATTTACATGTATCCTCTGTAATTTCTAAAAGCTTAAATTTGTTTAATGTTACGTAAGTCCATCTTAGTGACTTATGTAATTATCTGTTAATGAAATTGACTTGGCGAGATTATCATTCGATTTTCACGAGGCAGCCACGAGAACCAATACAGTTTCGTGCTAATATTATCGTATTCTGCTCCATTTAGCCGAATACGTTTGTATAAATGTAGAATATTTTTTTGTATAAGTCGCAACGTGTACATAAACCAGATGCATCGATAATCGAGAAACTGACATGTGTAAAGCTATCACGAATTTTTGCACAAAATAGAAACGATGTTTTCAAAAGATACGAACGGAGATATAGATCCGTGTTAGTATCGAGAGGATCATGGGGAAAAGCCAATAAATCCAGCCGCAATTACAATTTCGCGTATTTGAAACCACTGAAACATAGTGTAGTCCTAAACTTGGAGTATTATTGCTTCAGCCGGGTCGATGATAAAAATAAGCATCAAAGAATCATCCGTGTCCAAGAGAATAACAAAAAAGTTGCAAAGCATTAAATTTACGAGTTATTTTCCGAGAGAATTTTATCGGAGATGGTATATATGATCTCTTTCTTGGTTTCGCTAAAGCGATTTTGCATCGATTTATAGCACGGTGATAGAACATCAAGATCGTCATTATTTCACTAAGAAGTTCTAGTTAAACGATCATACAGAACGTAGTACAATGGGGCAAGGAGAAAACGGTACATCTAGTTTTTAGGAACAATTCGTTCGGTTGTGTTAGATAATAAGACGAAGAAGAAACACGATTGCGAGTTTCCGAGGAGCGTTTCTATCTTATCGGCATCGATCGGGCGTACTGTACAAGTGGAGTATTATACATGTGACGGATTATGTACGTGTACATCGCCGCGGTTCATATTACCTACCGTTACCGTAATCGTGCGTTCTAAGGAGACGAGAGGTGTACGAAACCAAGCTCGGAAATGGACACAATTAACTCGCCGTCTATATTGACCGACGTGACCTCTCCTCGCTCCGCGACAAACCCACGTGCCCTTCCCTTTTGTACGTCAACAATATTAACTGAGAACGTAAAAACGAACGATTTATCCTTGCTCGGTTCTGCTCACCGTTTTCTCCCCTTATCATTTTTATTTCCTTGGATGAATTAATCTCAAGAGATGAAGATATGACACGTAGCAAATTGCGGTACGTGTAAAGAAAGCGAATATCGGTGAGCATTACCGAGGCTTCATTCTACTAACGTGTGTATGTCCTATGGGTCCCGTGTTTGTAACAAGTGTATGCATGTGTTTGTGTGCTTGTACGTCGATCATGTGCGAAATTTTTGCGCGCGAGTACGCAAAGATGAAGCGATGATGGATCGGGAGGGACAGCGAGTAAGGTACATGCGTGCGTGCAAGCGTACTCTAATGAGAAAGAGAAGAATACCGAGAGAAAATACGTCGCATTTCTCTCTGATCGAGCTCCCATATTCGTATCCTGTTAACGCATCTATAAAGATATATAGCCTCATTTCATATTAGTAAAACAATTACATAGGCAAATAAGATGACGCACGTGATCAAATAAGGTACGAATACGGATCGATGAAGGGACTTGAAGCGTTCGTGTTACCGAGAATTCGTCAAATTCCATCCGTTCCCTCATCGTTCCATCGAAATCTCATCGTCCTTGTCTTCTCCTATTTCGCATTACCCTCCCTTCGCTTCGGTTTTCTTCCTAACGTTGTGACTTACATAATACATCGTACAAGGCACGTTCCATATGAAGAAGAGTGGAGAAAACGAAAAAAAAAACGTGATAAAAAATTATTCGTATAGATATATTATACCGACACCGTGTTTTTCTATGTATCTTTTTTTCTTTTTTTCATAGGGTACTACTACTACCACTACTACTACTATCATATTATTACTATTACTACTACGACTATTACCGTTACAACTATTGCTGCTGCTATTGCTAATTGTTATGTTGTATATCGTATAGTCGAATCCTGAATAGCAACGATCTACTTGAAACGAAGCGACGAGTGAAGGACGAGGATAAAGCGACATATTCGGGCGGCGTACATAATCACGTTTAAGAATACATATTCTTAAAGATTCTCAAGTAAGAAATTGGACATCATACCTTCGATCGACCATATTTTTCAGGAACTATTTAAGATAGAATGAAATAGATCACGCATCTTGAAAAATATAATGGGCCAATCGTATGGTATTCAATCTCTTAAGGATCTCTACATATTCCGATCATTACGTTGTGTACACAAACCTCTTTATTTCCTTTCGCATAGAGTGAGGAGTGTCAAATTAATAAATTAATTGTTTAAAAGAATTCAAAAATCACCGATCGAAACATCTTTCTCATGCTATCGTCTGCGTTATAACAAAACGTTTTGGATAATTTGATACTATTACTTCAAAGTCGGGAGAGACGAAGCAATTAAAAGTCGACGTGAAACATTTCAATTTGAATTTGCATTAATTTTAACTATGTACTGAATCGAAGATAAAAGATGTATGATGTATAAAAATAATCTTACATATATAAACCTTTTAAGGATTAATATCCCAACACTGTCATCTAAAGTAAAAATCTTTGAGTATCATATCAAAACACATGTTTTATTTTTCAAAGATTTTGAAAGAACGTTAACTAGTTTAATAATATTTCTTACTCGTGAAAATTGATGTTTCCATGAAAGAGACTTTTCTATACCCTCGATAACTTTACACAATAATTAAGTCGTTGATCTAACGAAGTTTGATCGATATTTCTTCTCTCAAGTCATCTTTCTCAAACAAATCTCATTTATCGCTCGAGAGAAGTTTCCCGGAGTCAACAATGTTAGTTATCAAACTCATCTCTATATGGAAGGGGGAAATGTTTGTATACTGTCGTCGTATACGTAATCGTTTACTGTTTCCACAAAGTCGAAGCTATAAATAAATCATCGCTTTTTATGCCCGCTTATATGATCCTCTTTCTCTTTGCGGCAGCTAGAAATCTCATAATTATTACTTATTACATACAACTCGTTATCACAAAAGACTTTACTAGTGATAAAACGAAGCGAATTTTACTATCACGTCTCAAAGTAATATCTTGATTGCTAATAAATATAAAAAAATTTTAACATAATTACAATAAAACGATATGACTATTCTATTGTAATTTTGTAAAGTCATCGGAGGGGAGATTTTCCGACTTTCTATTTATAGCATCGATTAATATATCCAAGAATATGTGAACATTATGTACTAGATCAAGAAGATTCTCTGTGCGAATTGTCGCTTTGAAGAGAAAAAAAAACACTGCCAGCGCGAATTCTTGCGTTTACCTGTTTTTGACTGATTGAAGACACGTGCGACGACGATCCGGATTTGTTGCTTCGTCCTCGTAAATTATCACAAATTCGTCGAACGGGAAATCTTCTCAAGATGATCGATGCCACCGCGAAGAGGAGCAGCGATAATTCCTCCCCGCGTTATTTTCTTTTTCTCTTTTTTTTTTTAATTTGCGCGGTTTGCACAAGCGCGAGGTCCAACCGAAGAATGACGGAAATTATAATTGTATAATTCAATTAGAAACTTATATTACAATCATACAATTTCGTTATATAATTTACGTTTTCAGTGCAAGTAAACTAATAACAATTGATTAAAATTTGCATTTGATATAAATTATGCGTTGTTGAGATACAAAATTGTAATTTATTTCTTTTTTTTATTTACATTTCACATTTCTATGATGTTTTCATCACTAAATAATTTGTTTTCCGCATTCTGTGATCGGACCAGTGGCTTTGGACACGAAAGGTATGCAAACTGCGCGAGTGAAAGCTATACAATTATTGAGAGAGAGAGAGAGAGAGCGTGCGTATGTATGTTTTTTTTCGTTGTGCACGATTGTGGATCATAGGTTACGAGTCGTACGCGCTTGTTTGGCCGGCCTAGGGGAGCTTTCGCGAATATGTGCAAATAGATGTAGAACGTTCAGAAAGTCTCAAATGACGGCTCCAATGGCCTCCCTCGGCGATAGGATGTCACGACGACTGCGGCAAGTGTCGATTAAATAAATTCGCGATCGATGTATTTTAAGTGTACTAATTGAAATGTGTATCGAGGCGAATGGTTTGTATATATACAATTATTATTATAATCTATTGAAGCAAGAAGAACATTGATAATATGTGCAAGTGTGCTTGAGGAGAAACGAAACAAAGAAAGCGAGAGTGAAAAAATGAGAGAGAGAGAGAGAGAGAGAGAGAGAGAGAGAGAGAGAGAGAAATTAGATAAAGTGTCCGATAAAGTGTGGCAAAAAGAGCGGCAACACCGAGAACAAATAATAAATACTGTAAAACTGTCTTTGTGTACTATATGATAAAAAAATGACACAACCATACCTATAGAAGCATTTTGATTAGTGAGAGGGGGGAAGAGAGAAAGAGAGAGAGAATGAAGGAAGATATGGTCTGTTTAACACAAGGTGTATAGCCCTGTTTCTCGATTACTTTGCATTTGTACTTCATTCCGTCTTGGCGGAAAAGTGTTAGGAATATAATCGATAGTCGAACGATGAGAATGTTGACCCATATACATCTGCAAGTTTCTTTTTTCTTCCCAGACTCCTCTCGGAATGATTAAGAATCAACAATTTGGATAATCCTCTTTCTGCCCTTAAAATTCCATATATTTTAGTTTTTTTTTCTACCAATGAAAAACATTAACACGTTAAATGCCACGCCGGTCCTTACGAACCGACGCTCAATTTCTTATTTAGGCTACGCCGCCGCGCCGATCTCTGCGTACCGAGGATAAATATTTCATTTAGGCGACGTCAGTCCTTGAGGAATTTAAAGTAAAGGCACAATGCGAGGGAATAGCGATAGGAATAACATGATTTCAACTTATCAGAAATCGGATATATCGGAATACACAGTTTCTGAAATCGTGTTATTCCTATCGCTATCGCTATTCCCTCGCATTGTGTTTTGGGCTTAATAAGTGAAGAATATAATGCTTCATCAAAAATTAATGGATGGTATTAATGGAAAGTGAAACAAATAGGCTCGGCACTTAACGTGTTAATCTATTATTTGGTTCCTAATAATCTGAAATATTTATTCGTTCTACTTTATGATGAAATATTTTAGTTATTCGATTATTGTATGTTAATATTTCAAATTTCAATGTCGCTTGCGTAGTAAATCTTTTGCAATCGGTACAAAATATTGCGGATATGCATGATGTAAATGGGTTAATTTATACACATCTTCGTTGCACTGCGGAGTGCATTTTCCTTTCGTTGTATCTCGCACTTGCTAGATTACGTAAAACACTAACGTTAGTAAACATATATTATTAAAAAATGTAATATATACAAAATTGTCAATATTCGATGATTTATTGTTTTTAGATAAAATATAATATATTATTTATATATATATATATATATATCATTTTTATTTCAAAACGATAAAATATCCAATTTTGACAAAGATTGGCAATGCTGTATCCATAGAATGTTTATTTAATAATATAAAGCAATTACTTTATCACGTTTACGATAAGAGGAAGCGAGAGCGCGAGACAGCGAAAGAACTTTGCTTGTTAATCTATAATAATTTGCGATATTAATGTAAATGAAAGCTAGTAGCGTTAACGTTGTTTGGAAGAAAGATTGCGTTTAGGAAATTTGATCTTTTCGCGTTATTCTGGCTGAAAGTGAAATTAGACGATCAAGGAATGTCTGGAGATAACAAAACGCAATATTGTTACTCGTTTAAGTTTTACCCGGTGGAATTGATTAATAGTGATTACGAGTAAAATGCGTTTTGGTGATAGCAAATTCGTTATCTGTCTCAATGCGTACATGCGAATTTGCTTTAAGAAATAGGTATGTCGCGCGTTCAATCGTTTAAACGTGTCTCGCAATTGATAAAATACAGGTATTATATATTTTAATTAAACTCGTTTTACATTCAACACTTGGTACCGAGATATTTCAATATATACGCAGCAAAGTGTTTCGAAAAGAATTGTATTTGACAAAAATTTCGAACGATCTTTCCACGCTTAAATTTTACTTGGAAAAATCGTGGTCTTTTAATTTGCAATTAAAAATCGGCAATGCCTATGTCAGGTATTTCGATTTATAAAATCAAAGAAAATAAAAATAGAAAGAATCCAATTACGATTGATTCTTGCAATTTACATTCGCGTATATGACTCATCGTCAAATACGTCGTAGTCTTTGATTAGAAAACTTTGTTTCCTTTTATGTAACATTGTGAAATGTAATACAAACACTGCACTATAAGTCTGATATATATTATATAAAGATATTTCTGAATGTAGTATCTTTATATAAGATACTACATTTATTTTTTATTCTTAGCCAACATTAAGTATTGATCGTTACTCAATCGAATGAAAACCATTTTGTTGAAGAAAAGATACATGTAGATGTAAATTATAAATCATTTACGTACGCCACTTAATTTTTTTGTCTGCGACATCTCAATTAAAAAATGTGTATCAATTCGAACAAGCATAATTAACTAACTAGACTTTCAATTAAATTTTTTATAAAATTCGAAATCTGATGTCACACGCGCAATAGTTGATATGGTGTGTGTGCGCGCGCGCGAGCGTGTGTGTGTGTGTGTGTGTGTGCGTGTGAGCGTGTGAGCGTGTGAGAACACATATGTACATATATTTTTTCGGACACCCGTAATTTGAGACACATCTCGATATGCAGAAAAATGTGCAAGCGGCGGGTGAAGAGATAAATTCAATTTGCATTATTTCGTTTAGCATACATATTCTCAGTTTCTCCATCGCGTTATGTTCACCGTAGGAGCAAATTAGGAGCCGAAAGAAAAGCGTTCTTTAGATCGGATGCAGCCACGGCACAGGAGAGCTCGCGAATTATATAATTATACGTACGTGCGTTAGTATTTTGGAGTAGAATATTTTCGAAGATTGCGAGAGAAAGAGACACACACTCGCCAACGTGAGTGGTCTCGCCCGTTCACGGCTTTCTCTGTTGCCGCCTGTTTGTCGAATCTAGTTGACGATGAAGAAGAGAAGAAACAAAGCATTTTTTTAAATTAAACTGAAACAAACGAAACTTGCTTGTTTTTTTGTCAATTTTGATATCTTTTTCATAATCCTTCAATCCTTTTTGATAATCCGATCGAACCTTACGTCAATTAAATATATAACTATATTGCAATAATCTTTATTAGTCCTTTTATTAGCAGCGTATAAATTGTATCATTCATAACAAGGTAATTACTATCATTTACAGCATAACTTCCACAAATATTGAATTTTGGAAATGGAGATTACTGTACCTGTAGTAATAGAATATTTTTTTCTTTTTTAAAGATGATAATTTTGTTTATCCAACTAAGAAACCACCGTCGATGGGCAAGCAGGCGCCATTGATCATGGAACTTCGGTCGCTTAATAAATATATAACAGGATCCACTACCTCATCGACATCTACAACATCATATTTTGAACCGATTAAACAAACCGTTTACTTTTTTTTATAACTACCGTTCACAAAATATAACGTTAGATGTAATAGTTCGAATTTTTATAAACTAACGAAAAAATAAAATAAGTTCTATATATAATATCTTATAGGACTGTATACATGATAACACAAACTATAGAAATCAATGCCTTAAACGGTCTAGCTCAATTATTTACAGATTTAATATATTACTCAGCATTAAGATTGTTCTAAGATGCAAAAAAGCATTAAATTATTAAATTGCTAGTCAGGAGCGTTTATAATGGCCGTAACCGTATGCCGTATGCCGAAATCTGTGAGAATTGACTAATCACAGTCAAGTAGGGAAAACCGAGGTGGGTTGAAACAATTTTTGTATTATATTTTTCGTCATAACTATCTCAAATTTGGGTATGTGAAGTTAGCACCCCAACTATAGTACTCAGGAGTTCTGATTAGAGTTCCCGTTTCTTTTTGACGAGACAAAGAGTTCTATATAATTTATAACAAGAGTTCCGCTTAATAACTATTTTTAAATAAATTTAAAAAATGGGGTGCTAACTTCTTATCGAAAATCGAGTTCCAACAGTTCTGGGCGGCCCAATAGCTTCATTTCGTGAATACCTAGAGTTCCTGATAGATAAAAAAAAGTTTTGAAAAATAAAAAAAAAATTACAAATTTTTGAAAAATCAATTTTTAGATTCAATAGTTCTGAATAGAGTTCCTGCTTCCTTTCAACGATACGAAGAGTTCTCTGTACTTTTTAACTCGAGATTCCCTTAATAACAATTTTTAAACAATTTTTAAAAAATGGGGTGCTAACTTTTTACCGAAATTCGAGCTCGAATAGTTCTGAGCAGCTTAATAGCTTTATTTTGTGAATACCTGGAGTTCCTGATACATAAAAAACAATTTTGACATACAACAAAATTTATAAAAAAAAATTAAAAAATTTTTTTTTAATTTTTTTATACAATAGTTCTGTCACATGTTAATTGTTATTCTGTCTATTTCGAAGAGTTCTAAGCGATTAAAATCAACACAGACCCAAAAATAAAAGAGATATGTACTTAAAACAAAATTTGAAAAATTGATTGCAAAAGCACATATCTCCTTATGTAGCAATCCAATCGCATTTTCACCTAATACTTTTCGTTAGGGCTCGTCGAGAACTGCTCAGAACGCCGATCAGAACTACTCAGTACTCTCAAAAAATTTTCGACGTCGGACTTAGAAAATTTTCGACGATAGAGTTCAAATGTTCCCATATCTCGAAAACCGTTGG